CGTGTGAGGGGTGTGCCGAAATGGGTGTGGGGGACGCATGCGGCCGCGGGCTGGGGCACGGTGGAGCTCCCTATGGAGCCTGTCCCCTGTGGGGCCTTCGGTGGAGCTCCCTATGGAGCCACGAAACGTGTGAGGGGTGTGCCGAAATGGGTGTGGGTGACGCATGCGGCCGCGGGCACTGGGGCCTTCGGTGGAGCTCCCTATGGAGCCACGAAACGTGTGAGGGGTGTGCCGAAATGGGTGTGGGTGACGCATGCGGCGCGGGCACTGGGGCCTTCGGTGGAGCTCCCTATGGAGCCACGAAACGTGTGAGGGGTGTGCCGAAATGGGTGTGGGGACGCATGCGGCGCGGGCACTGGGGCCTTCGGTGGAGCTCCCTATGGAGCCACGAAACGTGTGAGGGGTGTGCCGAAATGGGTGTGGGTGACGCATGCGGCCGCGGGCACTGGGGCCTTCGGTGGAGCTCCCTATGGAGCCACGAAACGTGTGAGGGGTGTGCCGAAATGGGTGGGTGACGCATGCGGCCGCGGCACTGGGGCCTTCGGTGGAGCTCCCTATGGGTGTGGAGGGGTGACGCATGCGGCCGCGGGCACTGGGGCCTTCGGTGGAGCTCCCTATGGAGCCACGAAACGTGTGAGGGGTGTGCCGAAATGGGTGTGGGTGACGCATGCGGCCGCGGGCACTGGGGCCTTCGGTGGAGCTCCCTATGGAGCCACGAAACGTGTGAGGGGTGTGCCGAAATGGGTGTGGGTGACGCATGCGGGCGCGGGCACTGGGGCCTTCGGTGGAGCTCCCTATGGAGCCACGAAACGTGTGAGGGGTGTGCCGAAATGGGTGTGGGTGACGCATGCGGGCGCGGGCACTGGGGCCTTCGGTGGAGCTCCCTATGGAGCCACGAAACGTGTGAGGGGTGTGCCGAAATGGGTGTGGGTGACGCATGCGGCCGGGCACTGGGGCCTTCGGTGGAGCTCCCTATGGAGCCACGAAACGTGTGAGGGGTGTGCCGAAATGGGTGTGGGTGACGCATGCGGCCGCGGGCACTGGGGCCTTCGGTGGAGCTCCCTATGGAGCCACGAAACGTGTGAGGGGTGTGCCGAAATGGGTGTGGGTGACGCATGCGGCCGCGGGCACTGGGGCCTTCGGTGGAGCTCCCTATGGAGCCACGAAACGTGTGAGCCGAAATGGGTGTGGGTGACGCATGCGGCCGCGGGCACTGGGGCCTTCGGTGGAGCTCCCTATGGAGCCACGAAACGTGTGAGGGGTGTGCCGAAATGGGTGTGGGGGACGCATGCGGCCGCGGGCACTGGGGCCTTCGGTGGAGCTCCCTATGGAGCCACGAAACGTGTGAGGGGTGTGCCGAAATGGGTGTGGGGGACGCATGCGGCCGCGGGCACTGGGGCCTTCGGTGGAGCTCCCTATGGAGCCACGAAACGTGTGAGGGGTGTGCCGAAATGGGTGTGGGTGACGCATGCGGCCGCGGGCACTGGGGCCTTCGGTGGAGCTCCCTATGGAGCCACGAAACGTGTGAGGGGTGTGCCGAATTGGGTGTTGATGATGATGATGATGATGATGATGATGATGATGATGATGATGATGATGATGATGATGATGATGATGATGATGATGATGATGATGATGGGAGGGGGGAGGAGGCAGCGGGAGGAAGGAAGGAAGGAGGGAAGGAACGAGAACGCGGGGCACCGCCTCTTCAAAACGAGGACCCAACACCACAGGATGGTTGGGAATCTGACCACAGCCCAAGCACGGCAATTTGAAAAAAAACAGACTTCTCAGAATTTCTTTCATCAAAGGCAGCCCGCCTCCCCGCACGCTGCTCTTGCACAGCAGGCCATGAGTATGCCCCCCGCCGTCACTGGCCAAGGAAGGCCCAAGGAAACCTTCGAGGGCTCCAAATCTCCGAATACCACCAGAAAGTGTTGATATCTGCGTTTCAGAATTCTGCCCTTCTATGTACATCCGGGACACGCGAGCAGGTAAGAGCGAACCGTCTTACATTTATTGCTGTTGTTGTTGTTGTTGTCGTTGTCGTTGTTGTTGTCGTTGTCATTGTTGATGTTATTGTCGTTGTTGTTGTTGTCGTTGTCGTTGTTGTCGTTGTTCTTGTTGTTGTCGTTGTTGTTGTTGCTGCTGCTGCTATTATAGTTGTTGTTATTGTTGTTGTTGTTGCTGTTGTTGTTGTTGTGTTGTTGCTGTTGCTGTTGCTGTTGCTGTTGCCGTTGATGTTGTTGTTGTTGTTGTTGTTGTTGTTGTTGTTGTTGTTGTTGTTGTTGTTGTTGTTTTTGTTGTTTTTGTTGTTTTTGAACATTATTTCTTCTTAAGAATAATTGTTGTTGGGACCCCTGGTGCACGACCCCCCCGCCGCGCCTAGGCCGCAGCCTCATTTTCATCATTTTCGTGAGGAAGTTTCAGGCAAAACGATGTGGTCCAGATCCGGTTGTTTTGTTGTCCCCCGCTTTCCCTTGCAAAAAACACTATAAAATGAAATTTCCTTGTTCTAACATAACCAAACTTCAAGAATCTTTTGCAACAAATGACACGAAGTGCACACTCGCGCGCGCAAGATGAAATCCTTCCAAAACCGTAGTTTTCGTAACGATTTTAACATAAAAACATGAAAAACCCAATGGTTTTTCAAAAAAAAAGTTTCAAAAATTCATCCCGCGCGCTCTTGCGGATTTCTTAGGAAACCCAATACTTTTTCAACATTTATGTCAAACGGGCTCTTGCGAGCAACTTTGTCGAACTTCTGCAACAACGGTTGCGCACCTGCCAGGGCCATCATCCCTGTCAAATAATACCATGCGGGACACATTCGTTTTTTCTTCGCGCGCGCACGCCGTCGTCGTCGGCCGCGGGGCCCTGAATAGTAGCCACGGTCGTCCGCATGCCACGAAGTGAAGTGTCCGAACGTCATAGGGCGGGAAGCTGGGTGTGGGTGGTGGCGAAGAGTCGTTTGGAAATTTGGTAGAGCTTGAACCGGCCCCCCCACAAAGTGGGGGTATTGCCCGCCTCCTATGAAAACCCTGGCACTGGTGAGAACGGAGTGTCCCCAGTCTTAAATGATTGTTGTTGTTGTTGTTGTCGTGGTTGTCGTTGTCGTTGTCGTTGTCGTCGTCGTTGTCGTTGTCGTTGTGGTTGTTGTTGTTGTTGTTGTTGTTGCTGTTGTTGCTGTTGTTGTTGTATATTGTGGTCATGTTTGGTCAGAATCAAACTGAACATATCTATATAGTTGTTAGCTGTTTTTCGTTGTTGGACTGCTTCTCCGTTTTGGGACTCTCGTTCGCGCCGTTTTCGGCCCGGTCGCGTTTTCTACCGCCATGTTTCAATGCTTTGGGCCGCCGTGGTTGTTGCTTCCCCCTGGCGGTTTGCCGAGCACCGAGACGTTGAAACAACGGGGGAAAAACACGCCCCCCCCCCCAGCTGTCTCCTGACATCGCTCGGACGTGTGCATTTTTCCTTCGGCGAGGACCATCGAGGAGCATCCTGGATCCTTTCGCGAAAAAAAGCCACGCACGAAACCGAAAAAAACACAGGAAATGGACGTCCGAGCGATGCCCAAGAGAAGGCCTGCCTGCCGCAGCCTGGAGAGGACCTGCCTCGAACTCCGCCGTGTGCTGCCCGGGGAGAGCCCCCTTTGTCGGAGGCCTGGGCCCGCGGCCTGCCTGCGGCCTGCGCGCGCCCGCCGCTTCGCGCCCCCTCCCCGCCGCAGGGCTGCGCCGACAGCCTCCAGTGGATTGCTCGTGGGCCCCAGGGGAGGAGGAGGGGGAGGAGGCGGAGGAGGAGGGGGAGGAGGAGGAGGAGGAGGAGGAGGAGGAGGAGGAGGAGGAGGACGAGGAGGAGGAGGAGGAGGGGGAGGAGGCGGAGGGGGAGGAGGCGGAGGAGGCGGAGGAGGCGGAGGAGGAGGAGGAGGAGGAGGAGGACGAGGAGGAGGAGGAGGAAGAGGAGGAGGAGGAGGAGGAGGAGGAGGAGGAGGAGGAGGGGGAGGAGGAGGAGGAGGAAAAACTCGTCGTCCGGGCGTGCCGCGAGGAGCCGCCCCGTGGCCGCAGGGGGACGCCGCCCCTCGGCCGCTGCCCCTCGGTCGCTGCCCCCTCGGCCGGCGGCGCGCCGCGGGGGGAGGGGAAGAGTGAGGCGCGGCCGGCCCTCTCAGGAGGCTCGGAGGCCCCCTGGCCTGCCGAGAGTAAAACGGCGCGAGGATCGGGACGAAATCGGATCAGGATAACTCGAAATCTCTGAGGATCGGCGGGTTTGGAGGACGTGTTGGGCGCCGCGGCCGCTCCAGAGCGTTCCGGAACGCTCTGAGAGCGCTCCAGAACGCTCTGGAGCGATTTATCCCGATCCTGGCCCTGTTTTGCTTGGCCTGCCGAGAAGTTTCCCAGAAAAGGTTCCCCCCGAGGTCGCAGAGGACGTCTCGCTGAGACGTCTCCGGAAGCCCCCGCGCCTTCTGAGGAGGCGCGGGGGCTTCCCAGAAGCCCCCCGCCGCCTCCAGAGGCGGCCTCCTCCTTCCTCACCTCCCCCCCTCGCTCGCCGCCGACTCTCGGAGGCCCCCCCGCCCCCCGCCGCCGCAGCGCTCGGCCGCCCCCCCCCCCCCCGCGGGGCACGGTCGCGGAGCCGCGCGGGGCCCAATTCGGGTGTTGCTGGACGTGCTCCTGGCCCAAGGTGCTCCCAGCTTTTCGCCAATATGTCGGCCCCTGGGGCCCTCTGGGCCTCGTGAGGGGTGCTGTGGAGGCCGTGGGGGCCTCCTTGGAAGTCCTGGGGGCACCTTGGGCCGGGGGCACTTCCTCAGAGATCCGATGTCGTGATCTCTGCAAGACGGGGTCCCCGGAAGTCTCCACCCGTTCCCCAGGACCGCTTTTTCATCCTGAGCCGATTCTTGACGGCCCCGAGGCCTGGCGAGGGCCCCCAGGGGCCGAAATCTGCGAAACACCTCCACTTTGACCTTTTCAATGCGTTCGATCTCTGGGTCTAGCAGCACCCGACCAATGGGGGGCGTCGCCCAGGCCGCCGGGACCCCGCGGCCCCCCCGGCGGGGAGGCCGCCGGGAGGGCGGCGCGGCCGTGCTGGCGGTGGGCCTGCTGGCGCTGGCGCTGCGGGCGGTCGGCTCGCCGGGCTTCCTCGCACGCGGGGCGCCCCGCCTTGCCGCGAGGCGGCGCCGCCGCCCCGCCCCGGCCCGCGGCGGCTGCTCGCGTCGTCGTCGCCGTCGCCGTCGCCGTCGCCGTCGTCGCCGTCGCCGTCGCCGTCGCCGTCGCCGTCGCCGTCGCCGTCGCCGTCGCCGTCGCCGTCGTCAGCATCACCATCGCTAGGAAGGGCAAGTGGGAAGATCAGGCAGGTGGAGGAGGGAAGGAGGTGGCGATGGAGATGAGGGGGAGAAGGACGAGGCGTGCCGGGAAGAGGTGGGGAATGGGCACTTGAGCTTCCCGCACAAGAGTGGAGAAGACGGGGGAACAGGCGAGAGGGGTATTGTTTTACTATTTTTTGATTATGTCGGGGGTATTGTGTATTTTTCGTCGAAGATCTCCCTGTAGGGGGACAGGCCCGACTCGAAGCCAGCAGCCGACCCTGCCGCAGGCTCGTCCTCGCCCTCTCCTCCCGAGGCGAAACCGCAGGCGCGGAGCGGAGGCAGGAGCAACCAGGGGATGGCACCCGCGCGTCAGCACACACACGGCCGGTGGGCCGCCGCCCAAGCTCGCCCCCCGTCTTGCGGCCCGAGCTGGAGGGAGCCGATAGAGAGGATCGCACGGCGGCCAGGGGCCGAGAGGGGACCGCGCGGCCGAACAATGAGGGCCGCCTCGGGAGGGAGGAGGGAGGAGGGAGGAGGGAGGAGGGAGGAGGGAGGATCGCCTCCTCAGGCCTCTGACCAAGAGTGAGGCCGAAGCCCTCATTCAGGTCGTCCGCGCCCAACTGTGACGCTAGAGGTGCGTGGCCATGGAGCAGACCGAGGCGCCGCGGCCACGCGCGAGGAGGGAGGAGGGAGGAGGGAGGAGGGAGGAGGGAGGTTCGTTGCTCGTTCGCTGTTGCCTGGACGCGCGGGTGCCATCCCCTGGTTGCTCCCGTCTCCGCTCCCGCGCCTGCGGCTTCGTCTCGGGGAGAGAGGGCGAGGGTGAGCCTGCGGCAGGGTCGACTGCTGGCTTTGAGTCGGGCCTGTCTCCCTACAGGGAGATTTTCGTCGAAAAGTACACAATACCCCCAACATAATTTGACCACTGGGGTATTTCTGGGGTATTTTTTATTTTTCGTCGAAGAGCACCCTGTAGGGGGACACGCCCGACTCGACTGCTGGCTCCCCAGCTCGAGATAGGCAGCCGTCGGTCCACTGCGGGGCCTCCCTCTCGCCTCGTCCCCCGTCTTCTCGCCGCTCTCGTGCCCACATCCTTCTCCAGCGCGCCTCGGCCTTCTCCCCCCCCCCCCGATCTCCATCGCCACCTCCTTCCCTCCTCCTCCCCCCCATCTCCATCGCCATCTCCTTCGCCGCTCTTGTGCCCACATCCTTCTCCAGCACGGCTCGGCCTTCTCCCCCCCAGCTCCATCGCCGCCTCCTTCTAGGGGAACAAAAAGTGACATAAACATAAAAACTAGGAGGTCCGCGCGGATTTCTCGGATTGGCGCTGGGCCCCCCCGGCAGCGCCTCCGGCGCCGCCCCTGGCGCGCTCCGCGCGCCAGGGAGGGGGGTCCAGCGCGGATCCAAGAAATCCGCGCGGACCTCCGAATTTTTATGTTTATGTCAGTTTTCGTTTGATGTTAATGATGATGACGATGATAGTGATGATGATGACGATGTTGACGATGATGGCGGCGGTAATGAAGATGATGATAATGATGACGACCATCACGATAACGATGATAATCATGATGATGATGATGACAGTGATGATGCTGATGATCCTGATGACGACGACGATGATGATGATGATGCTGATGATGATGATGATGCTGAACATGTTGATGATGCTGATGCTGGTGATGATGCTGATGATGATGATGATGATGATGATGATGATGATGATGATGATGATGATGATGACGTGCTGCTGCCACCACTAACGACGATGACGATGATGCCTGTTTTGATGGTGGTGGCGCTGAGGCTGATGACGAAAATGGAGGCGAAGTAAGAGGCGGTGGATGAGGAAAATGAGGAGGAGTGGCACGACCGTAGGCCAGTCGATGATTTTGCTGCAGTCGATGTTGATGAATGAGGGCGCTGTTGATGGCGTTGACGATGACGATGATAGCGGAAGTCATGATGATAGGGGAGGATGACGAGGCAGATGCCGAGACGGACGGCGAAGATGAGTATAAGCACGGTGACGGTGGAGGGGATGGTGGTGGTGATAATATTGTGATGATGGTGGTGATGATTGCGGCGATGATCACGACGATGGTGATAATTTGCGATCATGATGACAACGGTGGTAATGGTGGTGGCACTGATGATGTTGATGATGCTGATGACGATGACGATGATGATGGTGTTGATGATGATTATGATGATGATGTTGATAAAGGGGGAATTATTATGATGATTATGCTGGTGATGATGATGATGATGATGGTTAGGGTGAAAGTGATGGTGGTGGTAATGGTGACGACGATGATGATGCTGTTGATGATGATGCTGCTGATGGTGGCGATGATGATGATGCTGATGAAGGTGGAATGATTATGATCTTATGCTGGTGATGCTGCTGAGGATGATGATGACGATGATGGTTGTGGTGAGTGTGATGGTGATGATAATGGTGTCGACGACGATGATGATGCTGTTGATGCTATTGCTGCTGATTATGACGATGATGATGATGATGATGGATGTGGTGATGGTAATGATGATGTTGGTAATGATGCTGCTGATGATGGCGATGAGGATTTTGAGGGGTATGGTGTTGATGATGATGATGATGACGGTGATGATGGTGATGATGATAATGATGCGGATAATGATGATACTGGTGATGATGATGCTGATGCTGATGCTGATGATGACGATGCTGATAATGCTGATGATGCTGATGATGCTGCTGATAATGATGATGCTGATCATGATGATGCTGATGCCACTTGCTGCTACAGATGTTGATGATGATGACGACGACGACGAGGATGACTACGATGCTGTTGAAGATGATGATGCTGATGATGATTATGATGCAGATTATGATGCTGGTAATGCTGATGATGTAGATAATGATAATGATTCTGATGATGACGATGATGATGATGATGCTGATGGACATGATGATGCTGATGATGATGATTCTGCTGATGCTAATGCGGATGCTGACGCGGATGAGTACGATGAGGTTGACGATGCTGATGATGATGATGCTGATGACGATAATGCTGATGATGATGTGATGATGATGGTGATGATGATGGAAACGATGATGATGCGGATGGTGATGATGATGGTGATTATGGTGCTCATGATGATGGTGGTGATGATGCTGACGATGATGATGTTATGATGATGCTGATGCTGATGCTGATGATGATGCTGATGCTGATGCTGATGATGATGCTGCTGATGATGATGCTGACGATGATGGTGATGCTGATGATGATGATGTTGATGATGGTGGTGGTGATGATGTTGATGATGATGCTGCTGATGATGATGACGATGACCATGACGATGACGATGACGATGATGATGATAATGATGACGATGATGATGATGATGATGATGCTGCTGATGATGATGATGATGATGATGATGACGATGATGATGATTATGATGATGATGATGATGATGATGATGATGATGATGATGATGATGATGATGATGATGATGATGATGATGATGCTGATGCCGATTTTTGATGATGGTGATGATGATGATGATGATGCTGATGATGTTGATGATGATGATGGTGATGATGATGATGGTGATGCGGATGCTGATGATGATTCGGCTGATTTCATCGGATGATGAACCTCAAGCCTCGAACCAGGGAGGCCCGAAAAGCCTCGGTCCTCGAAGCTCGAAGCTCGAAGCTCGACCGTCAGAGCGGTCGTCGGAGGTCTGGGTGCGCCGGGCGCCCCCCGCGACAGGAGAGGAGGGAGGAGGGGAGGAGGAGGAGGAGGAGGAGGAGGAGGAGGAGGAGGAGGAGGAGGAGAGAGAGGAGGAGGAGAGAGGAGGAGGAGGGAGGAGGAGAGAGGAGGAGGAGGAACAGGAGGAGGATGAGGAGGAGGAGGAGGAGGAGAGGAGGAGGAGGAGGAGGAGGAGGAGGAGGAGGAGGAGGAGGAGGAGGAGGAGGAGGAGGAGGAGGGCGAGGGCGAGGACGGCGACGTCGAACGCCACGACGAAGATGGGAGCAGGGAGGCAGCGACGAGGCAGCGAGGAGGTAGCGAGGACGCGGCGAGGAGGGATCGAGATGGAGCTTGGCCGCGGCCGCAGGAGTCCAGGGACGCCCCTAGCCTCGCGCCCCCGCAGGTGGCCGCTGCCCTTTGGCCCGCCGCCGCCCGCCAGAGGCAGCGGTGGCGGCCTGCACCGCTCGACGACGACGACGACGACGACGACGATCTCAGAATCGGGTGCGCGGAGGGGCGGGGGGCAGGAGGGCGCGGGCTTAGCGCTTCATGGCCCAAGGCGCGCGTGCTGGCCAGGGGCGAGAGGATGTGTGGCTAGGACAGTGGGGGGGAGGCATGATGTCCGGGAGACTTCATGGCCCCAGCCACGATGTCCGTGCCACCGTTATCCTCAACCCCCGTCTTCCGCGCCCCCGACACATTCCTTGAGACTCGGCGCACTTCGCGCTGAGGTTTTTTTGTCTAGTTTCTGGCGCCCGTGTTTCCGAGGTTTCGGCGTCCGGGGTCTGTCTCTGGGCTCCATGGACGTCAGAGAACGACTCGGGCGGTATTCACCAAACATACATATGCTATCATGTTTGCGTCGCCCTTCCAAGGCTTTTCGTCTCCTCTCCTTCCTCATGCTGCCGCGTCGGGCACGTCCCCATGCTGGCGTGTACCTCTCTGCCATCCGCGCCCAGATGCGCTGTATGCCGCACCTCTTTTGCTCATGCCGCCGTGTCGGGCAGGACCCTCGGCAAGCGTGTCACCTCCATGCTATCCACGCCCAGATGTGCTGTATGGCCGTAGGGGCGATGCATCCTAAGCGATTCTTGAGGGCCCCGCGCGCGCTTAGTATTTATTTTTGAATATTCTTGGCGCTTCGCGTATCTCCACCAGCTCCTGCGTACGGCGGTGGTGCGGAGTTCGCGCTGAGTGGTTCAGCCTTCAGCGTTGTAGTTTCGGTTCTCCCTTCCGCCTTCGGCTAGGGGAGCTGCTCGGAGCTTGGCGCCGACAGGGCGAGTTTCTCCGTTGCACCCGCACTGCTGTCTGCTTCACTTCGGAGTGGCCGGCGCCTATGTGCGTTTGCCTTAGTGCGGAGCATTTTGCTCAGTGCATGTGCACTCCACGCATCGCGTGTAATTTGCCGTGTTCCGTTCCCCGGACATCGCTGTTGCCGGCTGACCTTTGTCGCGCGGCCGCCGACCAGAAAAGTATTTCCACCAGCCCATCCAGAAACGATGCCCATGAGAGCTGATGGGGGGAGAGAGGAAGAGACACGTATAGTCAAAGGGCGAGGGAGGTTTGGGAGGCTTCTTGACCATCTCGAGCCGTCTTGCAGCGGTTTCGGGGCCGATTGGAGCATCTTAGGAACCATCTTGAGCCAGCTTGGGCTATCTGAGCCATCTTGGAGGTCATCTCGAGCTCTCTGAGGCCGCTCGGGGCCTCTTGGAGGCCTCTCGGGTGCCTCTTGGAGGCCTCTTGGGGCTTCTTGGGGCGCTCTTTTGGCCCTCGTGGGAGCCTCTTGGGAGCCCTGGAGGGCCTCTTGGGGCCATCTTGGAGGCAGCTGGTCAAAAGAGGAGGGTACTCGATGTTCGTCCCCCCCTCGGGGGCCACGATTCTCGTGAGAGATGTCGAAAATTGGCCCTCCCCGAAAAAGGACCCTCTGACACCTTGCGGCCTCTCCAAAACAAAAATCCTCAGGGAGGGGAGGGGGAGGGTTCCCCTCCCCGAAGGGAAGAGGGGTTCTGGAAGAGGCAACAAACCCTCGTTAGACCACCTGTCGCCCAAAGGGATGGTGGGACTCCGCCTTGTCGCTGCGCGCGAGGCCGCTACCGCCAAAAAGTGTTCATATGCTCTCTGGCGGGCGCTTTCTGGCCATACCGCTCGGGGATCGATCCACTTCAGGCGATTTCTAATATATGTTCGGTTCGGACGGGCGTCTCCGAGGATGTCGCATCGTATTGGTATGTCCTTCTGCATCCCATCGGGGTGAGACGCCGGGCCTTGGGAAGGGCAGGGTGAAGTGCTCCAGGGGCCAGCGACTCGAAACGATCGAGCCGTCGGAACGCTGGGGACCAGCGTCCACCTCGGCGACGACGGCGGCGGTGACGACAGGCGACTCTCGGCACTCGCCCGCGGGTCGTCGTCGTCGCCGTCGTCGTCGCGGGTCGTCGTCGTCGTCGTCGTTGTGGCGTTGTCGTCGTCGTCGTCGTCGTTATCCTCTTCTTCCGCCTGCTCCTCTTGTTCCTCTTCCGTGGACCACGCTGAGCGCCTCTATGCCGAATCATTATTCGTCCTCCTCGCTCTCCCAGAGGTCTGTAGGAGGAAGAGGAGGTTGAGGGGGTGGAGGATGCGTTACAATCAGAGCTGACGTGATACGTGCAGACGATCTCACGATGACCTCTGAATTATTTCGTCATGCGGTCAAGAGGATCTCAACACAATTCCTTGATGATCTCAAGATGACTCCACGATGACCCCTTGTTTCGCAAGAAGCGAAGCCAACGAAACGTGCGAGGCCCAGATCCAGCGCACGAACGGTGGATATCGCGAAGCCAGCCGCTGCAAGGGCGGTTGATATTGCATGTGTAGATGGCCTCCCACCGTTCCGTTTACCTTTTCATCATCCTTCCACCATGCCCCGTGCTCCTCCTATCTTAGGCTGTTTGAGGCTCGGGCAATACATAGATCTGGTCGCAGGGTCGCAGTTGTTGTCCAGAATGGCCGATCCCCGGCAAGCTTTGATGTTTCAGCCAGGTAGTGCGCCGCAACCACTGCCAGTCGTGGACCAGCGCACGCTGCAGAGCGAAGGCATCATGGTCTGGACCGAAGATGTTGTGCGTGATGCTTTGCGGGAAGAGGTGGCCCGTAACTGCTGTTGGCATAGGGCTCCCGTGGACAGCATGCGTATTGTAAGCATGCAACAATCCTCATCGTGGGACTTGAAGCTGACGTCGTTCATCGAAGCCCGTCACGTCACGGCAAAATCGGAGCCTTACACGGGTGGGTCTGTGGATGGGCCTGAAAATGGGTATGCGCCTGGAGTTTGGGACATCCGTCTTGAACCCCCTATGCACTTTCATACGAATACCCACAGATCCAAGGTGCCGCATACCGAGTTTGTCCGAAAATGCACCGACTGTGGCGGCTTGGGCCGCAATACGTGCTCTGATTGTGATGGCGCCGGCTCGAAGCAGTGCCCAAATTGTGATGGCCAAAAGGGAGCCTGGTGCACCAACTGTGATGGCGAAGGGTGGAAATGGTGCAGTCAGTGCGAAGGCAAAGGTGAACGTCGGTGCCCTGGGTGCAAAGGTGGCCGTAAGGCATGCAACACGTGCAGTGCCTCGGGCAGAGTCCCGTGCCATGAGTGCAGTGGCGGTGGAACGGGTGGAGGGAAAGGCGGAGGCAAGGGCAAAGGAGACGACGCTGAGGCCACCGAGATGGAGTCGCGCCGATGTGACAAGTGTCGCGGAGAAGGATTGCTCGAGTGCTCTGTGTGCAAGGGGGAAAAACAGGTGCACTGCGACGCATGCAAGGAAGGAGTTGCTGAATGTAACGCGTGCAAAGGAGAGAAGTGGTCACAGTGCAGTAAGTGCAAAGGAGAAAAGTGGATAGAGTGCGCCGTCTGCAAGGGAGGGGGTAGACTCCAGTGCGAGCCGTGCAAGGGCGAGGGCCAAGTGACGTGCACCAAGTGCGAGGGCCACTGCGAGATGAGGATGTTCCAGGAGCTCGAGACCAAGTGGTACAACAAGTGCGACGAGAGGCAGCTCCAGGGTATCCTTCTGCCTGCGGCAAGTACTGCCTTTTTGGGCTCCAGGGAGCTGTCCCGGCGATGAGTTCCTTCTGGCACCCAGGGGGGGCCAGACCTGGCCGCGACGGCTCCGGGATGTCTTTCCCATTCGATTCCAGGGCGAATCTGGAGGCCTCGGCCCGGTCTTGGGGAGGGTGCCAGCAGAGCATTCTGGGGCCCCTTGCATCATCCTCGAGAACGTCTGTGGGCGCCCTGGGGCTGCCCCGGGGGTGTCTGGGGACCGTCGCGGGGGTTGCCGAGGCCTCCCGGGCTGCCTCGGGGCCGTCCGGGGGAGTCCCGGGGCTCGTGGTCTGCTCTTGGGCTGTCTGGGCCTCCTGGGCGCCGTCCAGGGCGGCCCAGGGGCGCTCGTCGCGCGAACCGGGGCGTGTCACCAGCGCGAGGCGCACCGAAGCGGGAACGTCTCACCAGATCGGTCGCAGCCTGGGGATCAGGCAGTTCCCTTCTTTCTCGCCTCCTCCCCTCCCCTCTCCACTGCACGCTTGGGGGAAAGATGCGTTTCACGAAGCGGCACCGTCGCTGTGATGTCCTCTCCCCGCGTCATCCTTCCTTCAGCATTGCGGAACAGAACGACGGACCAGCGGCCTTGGCCATCCTGGGCCGTCGAGGCGAGATGTCCCAGGCGTTCGCCAAACACGTATCTGGTTTTGTCCCCAGCTATCCTGTGGTGCTGGGGTCTCTGTTTCGAAGAGACAGCGCCCCGCGTCCTCCTCGTCCTTCCTCCTTCTCCCGCTCCCTCCTCCTTCCATCACTGCATCTGCCCTCCGCATGTTTCAGTTTCGGCACACCCCTCATATGTTTCGTGGCCCCACAGGCAGCTCCACCGAAGGCCCCAGCGGGAGGGTGCACATGCGGTTGCCCGCCTATTGTGGCATACCCCTGACACATCTCGTGGTCCCACCGGGAGCTCCAGGCCCCAGTGGGAGGGTCCACATGCGGCTCCCTGCCCATTTCGGCACACCCCTCACGCGTTTCGTGGTCCCACGGTCCACATGCGGCTTCCCGCCCGCCCACTTCGAAACACTCCTCACACGCTTGGTGGTCCCGCAGGAAGCTCCACCGGAGGTCCCAGCTTGAGGGTCCACATGCGACTCACCGCCTATTTTGGCACACCCCTCACACATCTCGTGGTCCCATAGGGAGCTCCACCGACGGCCCCAACTGGAGGGCCCACATGCGGCTCCCCGCCCATTTCGGTACACCCCTCGCACATTTCGTGGCCCAAGACGATTCTCACAACTGCGTTACTCACAACTGCATACTGTTGGGTCCTTCGCCAAGATTATTTGGCTGCCCACGGGCCAGAGAGGTAATCGGTGGTCTTTCAATTATGGGTTTCTCAGGGCTGGCGTCTTGGGTCCGTCCGGAAGAA